ATTATTGCCCCTTCCAAAATGCAAATTTTTGTGAATAAATGCTCAGCCAGAACTCAAGTCTAAGTGACCCAAGTTTCACCAAAGAGCAACTGGAGGAGGAAGAGTGATAGTGGTTTTAACAGCAATAATAGTAACTGTAATGGTGATGACAATAGTACCTTAAATTGATGGAGCATTTAGTCTATGTCAGGAACACAACACACATTATAAAAAAGAGAAGTTTAGGGCTTCCCTGGTGGCGCAGTGGTTGGGAGTCCGCCTGCCGATGCAGGGGACACGGGTTCGTGCCCCGGTTCGGGAAGATCCCACATGCCGCGGAGCGGCTGGGCTCGTGAGCCATGGCCGCTGAGCCTGCGCATCCGGAGCCTGTGCTCTGCAACGGGAGAGGCCACAGCAGTGAGAGGCCCGTGTACCGCAAAAAAAAAAAAGTTTAGAACAGACTGTTACTTCTCCTTCTGATGCCTTCAGCTTTGTGTATGGCTCAATCAAATGGCAGCTTTATCATTCTCTTCCTACTGTGTGTGTACTCGTTAACTCCTTCACTGGTGGTCAGAGCCCACAGAGACAAAGTCATTGATTTATTCTTCGCTTCTCTACAGACTCTCGATCTGGGCTGTATATAACACATATTCATCCAAAATCGATTAGCTAACCTCCGATCATGGAAGACTCCAAATGGATCATCTCCTAGGATATTCTTAGAATCAAAGTCATATTTCCTATTCCAAGGGAATCCCAATGTATCAAAACAGTATTTCAGTAATTTGTTTGTACATACAATTGCTAAAAACTATGATTTTGCATGCTAGTTTCACAAAAATCAAATTCAGCTGTTTCCACCAAATGGATGCATTTTTTTTTTTTTTTAAGAAACCAGCAGGATGAATGGGGGCTGGTGAGGGAGAAAATCCAAAGGATACAGATACTTTGGAAAAATACAATTTGCATGTGATACAGAGATGACTTCCCACCCCACCACTCAAATATATTTCAAATTCTAGAGATTTTAGTGTGATTTTTTTAAAGTAGAAATTGAATTGCATTCTGAAAAATCTTCCCTGAGTTCACATTGAGGAAGTAAACAAATAAGGCTAAACATGCAAAGAGAACCAATTTTTTCCTTACGGTTCAATATATAATGACTGTTAATTCCACTAGTGACTATCACCATTATCATCATTTACCAGATGACAGCTGGATATCCAGAGCCAAGTGAAGAAAAGACCCTAGCCCGTCAACTTTTATCTTCTAATTATGATAAGTTACCAACTCAGATAACATCTCCCTGCCCACAAAGGAGTAGAATGAATAAAAAGTGAGCTTGAAGGTTTATGTTAAACTTGACTTTTTGAAAAGACAAGCATCTGTTTTTAAATGGAAAGATCCATTAAAATCAAAAAAAAAGATGGACAACAGTAGAAGCATAAAATGAGAGCATCTTAATTACAGTATTGTTCAGCATCCCTGGCGACATCAAGCTCTATCCACGGTGATCACTAGGTCTCCACTGGAAGGAAGTGGGCTTTGATGGCATAAACAGCATTGTATTAGGTATGACTGTATGAAGACTTAAAAGCCTTTGATGAAACCAGAGTGGGCGAAGGAAAGAAAAGAATTTTCCCCACAACTGTGGGAAAAACTAGCAAAAATCAACAAGGAACATAAAAATTCTTTGTTGTGTATTGTTCATGAAATATTCCAAAAATGAATATAACATAGTCAGGGCTTTTTTTTTTTTAAAACTCCTAGAAGAAAGGTTATGAAATGTTCTTATCTCATCCACCTCACTGCTGAATCCCAGATGATACAAGTTCTGAACAGAGGCGCTAGTTAGTATGCAGTACTAGAATAGGTGTGAACGTATGGGTTTTATTTTTGTATTTTTTATTTTATTTTTGTAGTGGGATAAGGAGAAGGCATAAAATTAAATACATGACATTTGCAGTACTAAGTCATCACATAGGACACCCAGCTGATGTTTCAATCTTGGATGTAAGAAACTTCAAGATTTTCAACAAACCTTTCACGTTCGTACACACCCAGAAAAACCGAGAACCACAGACTTTTCCGAGGAGAGATATTGGAAGTAAAAGTCTAAGTATGAACAGAAGAGATGTGACCCACATATTCAAATCCAGACTTTTAAACAAAAACCACATTAACTCAAATCTTAAGTCAACACTAATTGTACTTACCAATGAGAAGGTTAACAATGGCAGCAGAGGCCATTCTCAGAAACATTTAAGGTTTAAAAGAGTCCACGAGCACTTGAAAAATAATAGCATACTGCTTGTTTCCACAGATTAATATATAACAGTTATTTTTACTACATTGGACAAAAAAAATTTGTAGGTAAATCATGCTCTGATTATCTTAACTCAGCTAGTTAGAGCCTGATCAACTAGTTAGAGTCTGGTGGAAATGAACCCCCAGTTGTTGCTTTGCTTTTGTCCATAGCATCTACAACATTTCCACAGACACCACTTCTCAGAAAATAGCCAGAAATGCAATGAAAGGAAAATATAAGAGTCAGGACCAATTTGTTACTACCAGTAAAACAGAAATGCCAAAGCACATGTGCTTTTGATGATGGAATAGAAAGTAACATCATCTTCATATTTCAGAGAATGTGTTCCTTGTTTGCTTCCTGGTGTAGAGAGTACTGAAGTCATCTGTTTATAGGTGTCGTTACTTTACATAAAATTACAACAAAATAAATAACTACTCTTAAAATCCATCAATGGAGGGTTTCCAGAATATAAAAATAATTGTAGAATCTCTCCAAAATTGGAGCTGCACACTACTTTTCAATGTCTAATGCTGAGTACAGAGCAGGAACTCAGCACTTTCCAATGAAGGAATATACCTTTGAAGACAGACACACACCCTTTCTTAAAGTATTAAAATCAGTGGCGTTCACTCAACAATAAGGAGCACATGTTATGTGCCAGACATTGTGTTAGGCTGTAGAATGAAAAGCTATTAAAACAGAAAACAATGAAAAGAACAATATCATTATTTTTTTTTCTTATCCAGGCTATATTTACATGGTTTTGAATATTCAGATAAAGGTGTAGGAATAAGTTAACCACTTAAGTCCTCAAAATCATTTAGACAAGAGGTATCATGTAACTGAAATCTTAGTTAACTGAGTTTTTCAGTGTTCAGTTGGGTGACAAAACATCCAAATGGGCACATGTTACTAAATATGCGAATATTCAGAAATATTCTCAACTGAAAATGTTGCTTTTGTTCTAAATGTCTGACATGCAGTAAGTAGTCTACGAGAAGCCAGTCCATGAAATCAATGTGTTCGTATCCTGTTTGGGGAAATAATAAAACAAATAGCAACCTACCGGTATCTTCAAGGTTCTGTTTTGAAAGTTGGTCACTGAAGGGCATCAAAATAAAACAAGCAGATGGCTCTGAACACTTAAAAAATACATACATGTATAGAGAGACAGATATGGATATATGGAGCAGCAAGCAAATATAACAAAACAGAAGGGAAGACAGAAACTAAGCTAAATAGAGAAGTCACAAAGAAAAACTATGAGGGAGAGTCCATTTGAAAAAGTAGGGCCAAAAAAGAGAAGAAATGGCCACAGACAAGTGCTCCAGGTCTGGCCAGAAGAGCCAGGAGAGCCAATGATAAATTACGCAAGGCAGCCTGAGAAGAGAACAAGGTAGGCCACCTAGAAAGGAGACTAGGCACCTCCACTCTGAGAAGGTGGGCAGGTTTGCAGTAGAAAGCAAGAAACATGAACTTTAAAATCCTTCGGACACATATGTCCCAATGACAAAAACATATGAGCGTACAAGACGAAAAACTCCAGAGTATTTTCAGACTTTTAAAACTCCAACAGGTACCATGTCTTCCCTTCCAGCCTCTAAATCCAGGGATAATGATTAGAGACTTTGGAATCAAAAGGGCTTTAGTAACAGGTTAAGCTAAACGAGGCCAAGGATTCTGCGAATTGAATCCTTGCAGATACCATGCAGAGTTTTACTCTGGTTTCCAAGGCCACGGCACACCCAAAAAGACTAAGTAAGGTAAATGACATTCCCCTAATCAAGGCACAGTGCAGAAACCAAATGAGGGGCAAGGGAGGAAACCTGAAAACTCCTAATAAATAATGTGGCTTCCAGAGTCATCCAGAGTAGCTAACTAGCAGCTTTTCAGGGAGAAATAAAAATGCATATGTTCTATTTCACTGAGAAATCATTCCATGTCCAGCTTTAGTGAGATTAAAAGAAAAAAAGGATTTAATATTACAAAAAGGAAAAAGCAACCATAAACATATAATTAGCATATTCTTACCCTGTACATCTTCTAGAAGAAGATCACAAGCACAAATGTTTGCAATTTCCTGAGGAAATAATTATTATTAATGCTGAGGGGGAAGAGAAGTGACAGAGGTTCTAAAGACTGCCTAGGGCAAGAGTAAAAAAGCATCAAGTAGGAAGCCACAGACACACTGACTTCGTATCTCGAGTCCCGCCGGGATTCAAATAGCTCTACTTGAATAAAATCTGACGATATCCCCTAGTTAAAAGGATGAGTGTTTCTGTAGAAACGACTAGATAAATCTTATCCCCAGTCTAAAAACTGCTTTTTTAGGCAGTTCTACATAAATATTTGAGAGTTTGAATATTTGAACATTTTTACTCCTGAAATCTGGGTACTGTTTGCACTTCAAAAGACTTATATAACTCTGCGAGCAGATTTCTTTTCAATATCTTTAAGATACAATCTCTGAAAATGTTAGTCCTTGGATTGGATATACGCATACCCAGAACTTGCAAAGCTCTCCGGAGGAACGGGTACTCTGGGGTTGACCGGCAGAGTTCCTAAACGTCAAGAATGGTATTTGGAGTTCAAGGTTGAAGGCGGCATGAAATAGGCTTAAAAGGGTATATAGCCCATCTCAAAAGGGTTTAAAACTGCACCCCATTACTTAAAAAATACCCCAAACAGACAGCACGACGAGCCATTTTACCTGTCCTACCAGTCCCGGGCAGGTCAGGGTGTGAAAAGACTTCCAGAGCTCCGAGCGGTGTCCTATATGTAACCCAAGAGCCTCAAGCGAGCGGCAGGCGACTTCGGGGACCCGCCAGTGCGTAGGGCGGGGTGGGGAGGCCCGGCCGGTCCTCCCGCACGAGGGTGCCCAGGGCCCCTCGGGACCAGGGCGGCCAAAGGGAACCGCGGCGTCGCCGTGCCAGGCCGCCTACCGGCCCCCACGACCCGCACGGCGGCCGCGGATCCCGACGCCCTGGGGGCCGCACGGGGCGAGGCGAAGCCCGGAGCGCGGCCCCGGGACTCTCCGTCTCCGAGGGGCCGGAGCGCGGCCTCCGGGCAGCTGCGCGCAGCTGGACGCGGCCCCGGGCGCCTCCGCCCCAGCCCTATCCCTCCGGCTCGGCGCCCAGGCCGCCCCTCGCCTGCGGCCCCTCCGCGCCGCCCGACCCTCGGCAACTTACTGGGGCAGCGCGAGGGCCGCGACGAGGGGCCGGGGATGGGCGAGCGGCAGGAGAGTGTCGGGGCTCGCGGCTCGGGGAGGCTGCTGGAGCGGCCGCCGCCTCGCTGGTCCGCGCCGAGACTAGCGCCGGGGCCGCCGCGCTGCAGAAGGCGGGCTGGGCAGGTGGGCGCAGCTTGTGTAGCCGCGCCGGGGGCGGGGCCTGGCCGGGGGGCACCGCCTCCCCCTCCCCCCTTCCTCCCCCTCCAGCCCCCGCGCTCGCCGACCGCCCACCGGAGCCCGCCTCCCGCCCCGACAGTCCAGGCCACGCTGCCAGCCCTCGGGGTAGGAGGGTCGGGCTGCAGCGCCGCGGAGTCTGTCTACGGCCCGGTGCACTTGGCCGTGCGCTCGGCCAGGGCTAGGCCCGTGGGCGCCGGCGGGCGGGGAGGCCGAGCTCTGCCGGGCGGCGAATTCTTGCTTTCCCTGGAGGTCCCAGCCTCAGGCGCATCTCCGAGGCTGCTTCTAAGTAGAGTTCCTCTAAGTGGGATTTTTGTCCCCGATTTATTTTTTATTCTGAGAAGAATTTGCAAGTAAGAAAGTAATGATAATAAAATATGTCAAGGACCGTAATAAATAGAACCCAGATGGGCGTGCTTTGTCAAATAGTACTACTTCACCAGGAAAAACCGTAAACCGTTTATTACAATGTTTAGTTGCTAGTTTGAAAATCCCGGTAATGTGAATAGGTAGTCCTGATGATTTAGGGGTGGGCTTATAAGAAAGTGACATTTGCTGTTTCTGAGAGAGTAGTAAGAGTTACATGACCAAGGTTTCTCATGCTGTGCTGTTGTTTACTTTAGGGGTCTCTGATAAGATTAAAGACACAATACGAAACTGTTCATTATAATCCAAAAGGAGGCCAACGCTGGCACTGAATTGAACAGTGAGCGTATATTATTGTTTTTGTTTGATGGAAAGATCTACCTTATTTTGTTTAGTGTTGTGGTAAACATCTTTATTCATCTACCAGTAATGCTCTTCACTTTGGCAAAGCGCCAAATTCATATTGAAGGATTATATGTACATTTTTCATGTGATGTTCTAAATCATTCTTAACTTCTCTAAGACATGTGTTCCCAAGAGAATCTGATTAAAGATTTAGGGCTTCACTCCAGAAACGGATCCATGTACAAAATCTCAATGACTATTTCAGAAGCGCATGTACCTCATGAAGCCATTAAGAACCCCATTAAAGAACTGGAAATCTAAATAGCAACATGGCTACAAGAGTATTATCTGTTCCAGTAAATGTCCTAAGTAATAGAGACACTGTTAATATAAACTTACTTTTATAGTATAAAACGGATTCCTTATGCAAATAATTATTAATGACATTGAGGAAAATGATACGTATAGACTCTGACACCAAATTCATTCAGTCCCACAAAGGCTAAGAGGCATTGTACAGGGGGGTGAAGACTGAAGACTCAAGAGTATTTGTCTAATTTCTAATGTTTAAGAACACAATCTAAATGTTTTTATCTGTTTTTTTTTCTTTAATAGAGATTGCTATTTTTTAATTTATGAGATTATTTCCCCGCATATTTTTATTTAAACATCGTGAAGGGACAGTCTGTAATTAGGTTGCAGAACAATGATTGGGGATAAACTAATCTATTTGACATTTAGAAACTGCCAATTTAGTCAAAATACCAATCTTTGAGTTTATCTAGTAATCTGCCCATCTGATTTTGGTACTTCCTGAAACAATACATGTGTCCATGTGTGTGAAAAATAAAAGCTATTTCATCTCTAAGCAAAAACGAACAAGTCCTTTCTAACAAGCACAATGTTTGATGAATATCTTGACACAGTAGAAGTTTTTTTTTTAATTAATTTATTTTATTTTTGTCTGCGTTGGGTCTTCGCTGCTGCATGCGGGCTTTCTCTAGTTGCAGCGAGCAGGGGCTACTCTTCGTTGTGGTGCACGGGCTTCTCATTGCGGTGGCTTCTCTTGTTGTGGAGCACGGGCTCTAGGCGCGCAGGCTTCAGTAGTTGTGGCTCGTGGGCTCAGTAGTTGTGGCTCGCGGGCTCTAGAGCACAGGCTCAGTAGTTGTGGTGCACGTGCTTAGTTGCTCCATGGCATGTGGGATCTTCCTGGACCAGGGATCAAACCAATGTCCCCGGCATTGGCAGGCGGATTCTTAACAACTGTGCCACCAAGAAAGTCCCACACTAAAAGTTTTGATTTATATATTCCTTTTCCTGTTTGCAATTATTTGTTAACTGTGAACCCCGTATCTCATCTTTGGTTATTTCTCAAATGTTAAAATGTATTTAGATGTAGAAAGAAGATCCACATATCTAGTATGAGTCTTTAAGACTGACTCTGAGAGACAAAGGATATTAGAATAGAATATTTAGAAGTAAAATGTTTGACATGGACTAAGCTATTTTGACATCTTCATTTGCATTTCCTTTAGCACTACTCTATTCCTGCTACAGAAACAGAATTATTGTCTTCTCCCTATTTGATTAATCCTTTCATCCACCTCTGCCTCACCTGTGTGGAGTACTGTACAGTAATCACTTTTCATTTTCATCTGTCAAACTTCCTGCTTAGAAATGAAGTTAGTCATTTTCAGCAGAAGGAGTAATCTAGGTTGTTGTCTTCCAAAGGTTTCAGAAACATTTGTGCATGTCTGAACTCCTAAGGTTTTATGAAATTACAGGAAAGTTCAAGGGACTTTTGTAGCTCAATAAATTCCACACCCTGTACTCCTACACTTGCCAAACACAACCTAGAGTAAGTCTCATATCCACGAATAAGGGATTTACTTTAACTATCAAGGCTGAATGAGTAGATTCTTATTAGTTCTAATTTTGACTCCATTATCCCCAAGCTATTTCAGCAAAGACAAAGCTAAAATCCACCAGTTTTTTTTAAATGGTTGGATGCTAGATATTGAAGCTTGTTTTATAGTTGAATAAATAGGCTTGAAGGAGAAAAAAGTCTTGGATCAGAGTTCAGACCACTAGAGTTTCAAGTGCTTTCAGGCCACTGTTGTTCTCCATTTCCCTTTCTAAAACATGTAAAAAATTAAAGGTGATTTTCCACACATTCCATATTTACCCATCCCTTAAGATAAACAATAAAATATTGAAAAAAATACAAGAAGCCCTTATAAGACAAATTATCTTTTAAATTTGTATTTTTCGACTTGTCTTTTAACAAAGACCAAATAATGGTTTCGCAATGGTTTTCAGTTCTGCACTGCTCTCCCTATGAATTTCCCTACATCCTGCCACTCAGCTAGTTTCTGGGTTTTCTTTACATTGGCCATTAATCAAGAATCGCCCAGAGCTCCACCCGTTCCGTGCTGGTCTCTGTTTCCTTCGGCCAGGATTCCTGCTGGGACTGTATCTGCTGAAAAAAGTCAGCCTTCTCAATCCAAACATCTTCAGTCAGCCTGTTGCTCTAAGGACTGAAAACCAGGGAGGGGGTCAGGAGAGAGCTCAGCTGATGTAAATCCTTCTCTGTCCCTCCAACTTGTCAAAGGTTCTCACTGCTCCGGCGATGGCTTCCTAACCATGTCCAGTGGACTTTTCTCAGTTTTCAACTGCCTCAAATTCTCTCCGGCTTTCTATCCTTTTGTCTGGAAATTGTTTTCCCCCTTGGCTTTCGTGATCTCTTCATTTTCTTCCTACTATCCTTACAACTTTTTGTCCTCCTTGCTAACTATGGAACTCTTAAGAATAAATTCTTGAATCATTTTATCTTCATCCACCTTCACAATCTTAGTTGTTATCCATTCCTAAGGCTCAGCCAACTTGATGGCATCTCTCCCAAAAGCTACTTTGTTAGACCTTGTCTTTGCTCCAAACTGTGTCTCTGGGGAGATAAACTTGCAAGTACTTGAAATTATATGATTGAAGAAAAATCCATCTCTTCCTTAGACTGATATCTCTCTCCAGCTTTCTTCTTACTATTTTTCTGGTACTCTTTAAGTTATACATTCTCCTGGTAATAACCTTAAATTGTTATTTACAGCTCTCTCCTTTACTTTTTTTTTTTTTTTTTTTTTGTTTCGGGGGCCTTTCCCTTTTTTTGCCTTTCCCTTTGCGGAGCACAGGCTCCGGACGCGCAGGCTCAGCGGCCACGGCTCACGGGCCCAGCTGCTCCGCGGCATGTGGGATCTTCCCGGACCGGGGCACGAACCCGCGTCCCCGGCATCGGCAGGCGGACTCCCAACCACTGCACCACCAGGGAAGCCCTCCTTTACATTTTTTTATGTTCCATCAGTCACGAAGTGCTGCTACTCTTCCTCCGTTGATTCTGTATTACAGAAACAATTCTTTCTCTTGATTTCTAATCTCCGTCTCCCTAATCTCTATCCTTATCACGTTTTTTTTTTAACATCTCTATTGGAGTATAGTTGCTTTACAATGGTGTGTTAGTTTCTGCTGTATAACAAAGCGAATCAGCTATACCTAGACCTATATCCCCATATCCCCTCACTCTTACGTCTCCCTCCCACCCGCCCTCCTATCCCACCCCTCTAGGTGGTCACAGAGCACCGAGCTGATCTCCCTGTGCTATGCGGCTGCTTCCCACCAGCTATCTATTTTACATTTGGTAGTGTATATATGTCCATGCCACTCTCTCACTTCGTCCCAGCTTCCCCTTCCCCTTCCCCATGTCCTCAAGTCCATTCTCTACGTCTGTGTCTTTTCTCCTGTCCTGCCCCTAGGTTCTTCAGAACCTTTTTCTTTTTTTTGGATTCCATATTAATCCTTATCATGTTAAGACAAGTTACTGCAGTCTTCTCAACAACTCATGGTGTCTTCTCATGGATTATAGAATCAAACTAAACTCCTATCTTGTACAGACCCCATCAGTATATCTTCTTGACTTATCATGTGTCCAAGATGGTAGCCACTTGCCACGTGCACCTCTTGAGCACTTGATTCATGACTAACCTGAACTGAGATGTGCTGAAGAGTAAAATATACCCTG